TAGTCCTATACTATCACAAACGTACCCGGCCGTACCCCTACCCTCTCATTGATATCACTCACATACCATACCACGCCACCGCGCCTCTCCCCTCCTATCCATGCCCGGCTTTGCTCGGCCTTGCTCGGACTTGCCCGACCTTGCCCGTACTTGACCCCCCCCCCCTCATATCTATACCTATTCCATACATGTCAGGTATCACCCCCATCCTCATCGCTATCATCAATTCCTTTATCTATGAAAAAATAAGATAATACCTAAGTGAAAAATATATTTAATTATTAGACGTATATTATACTATACATCGATATATTCTATACCAGCGGTTAAAACTCTTAAAAATGCTATTATGAAAATTGAAAGTGTTTCACTATCACTACCCAATATAACGTTCAAAACACAGTTCACACATACTTAACGGGTCGTTATTATATATACATAAAACATTGTATACCTACTTCACACTTATGGTGAAATATTTTAGTTTTCCTAAGACCATCAACTAACGTTTAGAAAGTTAGTATGTACAAAATCTAATTGCTTAGCTATTATTTCGATAATTTAAATGTATCCTAGAATAATTGAAAATATTATCTAGATTAATCTTTTAACATGGTAAATGAGTAGATAATATTTTACTAATCCATGGCTTAAAAGTTAAAATGTTACCATCACCTAAATATATTAGAAATCAGATTTCTAATATATATATAGGGACCCTACTCCCTAGTCTATGAGAGTCAATACCGTACGTGAACATACACATCATCTCATACCATACCCTTACCCTACCATCAATACCTAGTGCATACCAACCCCATACCCCTCCCTCCCATAGTCCCATCAATGTCTAACATATACCACACCATAACCCTCCATAGGTTAGGTTATAGAGTACTAGTCCTTTAATCGGTCTAGTCCATCCACACACCTACTATCACGTACGTGCGAGACCATATACATCATACTACACCATACTTCACTACAATCAATGTTTAGTATATACCACTGAATTAGTAAATTAAATAATATAATACTATTTAAAACGTACAATTGATATATTAGGAAAGAATTTCTATATATTATATCATGAACACTATATTATACTATACCTACTGTATTATCAATACCTAGTACATATCACACCTTTCCCCCACCTACCATCAATGTCTATCACTAAAAATGTATATATTATATAATTCTCAACATAATGACAGGTAACTTTATAGTTATCTAAGACATTATTATATGAGGTATGTTGGTTTAACATTTCACATACATATATGATTATATATTATACCTATTATTATAGTTTTAAAATATAGAATAATAACAATATTATAAACATGATAAATGATTAACTAATAGTCTGTTTAGCAAGAACATTCTTATTTCTTAATTTAACGAATCGTTAAATTATATATCCATATATTGATATTATATAATATATTAATAATATGTAAACCATATAAATAAGTAATTATTAACGATACCTCATCATCTTTAATCGATGTGAAATATGAAAGTCTATGTGTATAACTTATATTTAATAAATATTAACACTATAGCGATTTTTTAATAAAAAAAATGTTATGCCTCCAGAGAGAATCGAACTCCCGACCCCTAGTTTACAAGACCAGTGCTCTAACCACTGAACTATGGAGGCCATCATATTATATCTATAACTGAGTAAATTGTTATCTCCATTACTCACATCTTAAGAATTATACTTCAAACTACCTACTATACCGATACATCATACTTCGATTATCTTCTTCCGATAGTAATACTCAACTAAGTGTAAAATTCTATCTAATTATCAGACATATATATTATTACGCTTTAATATGTTATATACAAACACCAACAACTATATATGATATTACTAAATTTGAAAGTGTTTCACTTTTAATTAACCTTTAATATCTGTAGGAAAATTAACAACCACCGATAATATTATAAACGATCAAATCTAATTTAAATGATATTTCGATATATCGTCTTTCGATGTAATGATTATATACATAAAGTGTATGATATTATTATATCAATGTAAATAATAAAAATTTTAAAAATGTCTATTGTTATAGGTATTATAGTAGTATTATTTTTTTTTAAATTATATGTATTACATACAGTAGTAAAATCTTAAATTGATATACTTTATAAATATGAAAATAATAAATACCTATACGTTCTATCCCGCTTTAGGCTTTTCTATGTATGAAATTAGTACACAATATAACATATGCTTAACCCTTAGAGATTATTATATATTCAAAAACATCTGAAAATCATTGAAATGCTAACTCTCTAAGTTTTATACTATGTTATATTATGTTATAGGGTAAAACAAATTATTTTAAAACATGTTTCATATGTATAATATTCATATTAAATTAATAACACCGTACGATAATTATCTATAATTAGGTACTCACTATTATAATATTTTCAATTAGAAGTCATAGAAAATACTAAATATTACACTTCAAACTTAGTAAGAATATTCATACTAAAGTAATAATATACAATGTTATTTTTTTTATTTGATAAAATAATATTAACTTAACAATATTAGACCTCTATTCCCGATACATCGTATAAATACTGAGGAGGGATATTTCAAATAAAATATTTTTTACTTTACACACGAGATATAATATATTCATTTAATTAAAACAATTTATTCGATATCGATAAACGTTACATATCGTAGATCATATTATATAAACTAACTAAACATGAAAATATCGTAATAAATATATATATTTTTTTAACAATGTTAGAGGCATTAAACATTTATACAATGTGATGATTATTAAGACAATTTAGATTAAAATAAATTATTTATATACTTAAATTTAAACTGTATACTAAATTATGTTAAATACTTATGAATTAATTAACAATAGATTATATTTTAAAGCAATTATTTATTATAAAGTTATATGTCGCATAGTTGATTAATGGGTATATTTCTAAAAATTTTTTATATTCGAATGGATACCGTGGGTGGGTGAATGAGCATTTATAACATATATAACCCCACCGCTTATTTGAATATACAAGTCCTTCAGTTAGCGCGACAGCCAGTCGAACATCGAGTAATCTCCGAGTATCGTGAATAAAATGATAATCTACTAATATCGAAGAGGTAGGGTCCACTTTTAAATTTATTTCTTTATTAATTTCTTGACGATAGATATTAATCCACCTCTTATCAGGAGCGGTATGAGCACGTGTATGCATTTTTTCATACACACGTCGATTCGTTGACATACCACTCCTGATATAGTTTAAGGGGAAATTATTATAATGATATAGTTCCCTACTCTTAGACATTAAATAGTTTACCATAACACGTTCATAGATGTCTAGATCATATATTATGGAGTTACTTATCTCCCGACTAGCTGACGACGAATCCATGATTTTCCTACACGTTGAAATGTCCTGAGTGGTGACCCACTGGAACCCGTCAATTCTTCTAACTATATAAGTAGTTATAAACCATTAATTACAGGAATAGAATTATTTCCTATCATGAAATAAAATTAAATTAAAAAATTACATACTATTTTCTCCCAGTCTGTATTGATTTGATATACGGATATGTCTGTTGGATGAAATTATATGCAGCTCCTCAAATGAAATCTCGTATTTTAACGTGATATTTATTAACTATTCTGTTAGTAAAAATATTAAACTTTAAGTGTTATATTACGTAGAAATATACTGAGGAATATACAATAACTGAACTACCATTTTATAATCAAATTTTCGAATTTAAATATGTTTTCACAGTTAAAAATGTGGGGTCTATTTAGTATATTATTATCATATCTATTACAATTGATCCGATACTATATAACTGATTCTCACTAACGAAATCATTTTTATGGTATATCACATACATATTATGTATTAATTACTCAATATTATTAATTTAGTCCATATAACACACTATTAACACTATGATGATAAAGGTTGCGAGACTGTTGTTGTTGTTGTTGTTATTGTTCTAATGATGGAAAGTATATCATTCTTAATGAGAGAGAGTTGAGTGCTTTAATGACACGAAGCGTCACTGACCATCTCCATACACCTCCAGGGTTATATTTGCATGACTGATAATCAGGGAAGGGTATTTTCAATCGCATAAATACGAACTGTATCAGTATATTCGATATCACTCGTCTACTACTCACAGTCATACAATCAAGAACGAGTACTCTAGACGACTATTGTGTGGTCAAGTACGAAAAGAACGACGACGACGACGACGACGACGACAACAGTGACGGTAACGACTACGATATAGTGCGGAATACGAGAGGCATTGTCTTTAATATTTTACGATAAATTTAGTGAGTACTATATTTTATTAGATATACATATACATAATATACGTATTATAATATATACAGTAGAAACCATTTATAATGACATATCGATTGTATTGACATATCGGGTGTAATGATATTATATTATATTAAAGGTCCTAACAAAACTCTTATATTGTATAAAATACAATATAAGAGTTTTTTTTTTTTTATAGTATATTATACTAATTCATATAGATTATTATAACGTCTGTATAATGACTATACGGATATTATGACGGTAATTATTGATTATATTAGGAAAATCTTTCATATAACTATAGTTAATGTTTATCAAAGGTAAATATATAAAAACTGATAATACTAAATAGGTATTATTAATATTTTAAAAAAATTGAAAAAAAAAAAGATATTAGGCATATGATTTTTATATAAATTAAGTATAAACTAATATAACAGAAATATATTATAATCAAGTTATTATAGATATATAATTTTATAATTTTAGTTATAATGACAATCAGTTATTATGATTAACTTTAACTAGTCCCTTGAATTTCATTATAAACGGTTTCTATTATATACATATATAAGAATATATTAATATATATCGATATATGACTCTTAATCATATTTAGAAATCATATATTAACTATGTCATCAATTTACAGAGAAAAAATGGAAGCTTTAAAGAATAGCCTGACAAAGCAGTCTAATACAAGATTCATGTCAGTAGGAGATCTGAGTATAGGACAGCTATACCGGATAATAAGGATGGAGAATCGGGAGACACAGTACGGTATCACCGTACACTGTGTGTTAGAGGGTGCAGGTGATGACGGTGGGATAATGGAAGTTTATCTACCCAGATCAATTAAGATCAAAGATGAAGACATCCATCAATTCAACCAGGGTGGAGATGATAAGGTGTTGCACCTAATTTTCAAAGGACGGCGTGGACGGTCATTTAATATCGGATTTCAATAATGTATAATATAAAATATAAATAAACATGTATAGATAATAATTATTGTTTTATCATAATAAATCGATCATATTTAATTTTGATTGAAAATATGTTCTATCTTTAAACCTATACGTTATGCTCAAACCCTCTATACAATTTAATATAGTATATTATATAGCCATATAAGTAAAGAGTTTAATTATAGTTATAACGTATTAATTACATTACTATAATTACATCGTAGTAATAGGTTAAAATATAAAATATTATACATATTCACGTATATATATAATAGATTTTAAGTTATTAACATTCGGTCTATATGTTAGAGGTATTATATATATTCACCTATATAAAATAGATTTTAAGTTATTAACATCGAGTTTATATGTTAGAGGTGATAGTATTTGAAATATATAATATGCAAATGAAACAGTTGAGTGTAATGAGAATAATACGTGTGATATTCTACTAGTAATAAATATTATAAAACTATGAATTTAGTATACAAATAATTTAAAGTGATATTATATAGTTCTCGGGTAGTGAAAAGAATATCAATATCGAGAATCTTGATATCATTATCATCATTCTCGTCTTTAAAACATAATAACCATCGTGATACGAAAATGGATATTACATATCATCACCTCAGTTCAAAACTGTAATAAACCGAAATATAACAGATCCGAGTTATGTACATCACCTTATAGACCATTTTATAACGATTTCAGGAATATAACGTAATAAAATATAATAAAATTATTGACCACGAGAGTGAGTATGTCATCGTGCTCGAAATACTATTCTATCACGATAGGTAGTCTATCCTCACCCGATCTCACCCCATCCACTTTCTTTCCATACGTTTGCACGGCCACTCACGGAACGGCACGGACACTCATTGCACGGCCGCTCACGGAACGGCATGACCGCCTACCGTCAACTCAACAAGGATTCAATTTAATTTTAATTTATATATATATATATGTATTTATGTATTTAATTAGCATGTATAGAATTATATATTTCATTTTTAATTTCATATAATACAATTATTACATTTATTATTTAAATTTGACATGGGGATATTACACACGTAGCGCGTAATGACCATAAGCGCGCGTACGTATCCGATCGTTGTCGACCACACGTTTATCGTCAAAACGATTAAGGGTCATTTTCATGGTCTTAATCGTTTTGAGGCGGTGCTCGAACGATCGGATCGATACGTTTTGCCTATACGGTGTGTACGGTGTGTACGGAGGAAGTGGCGTTGCGGTGAATTCCACACCAGCAATGGCGGCGGCGGTAGCGGCGGCGGCATTCCCATGGATCGTGCTGATGACCGATCGGGCCATTAGACGCGCACGCCGTTTCAGCTCCTCATCCTCAAGCGTTACGTCATCGTCAAAGTCGTCCTCCATGTAGTCGTCGTCGTCGTCGTCGTCACCCACCTCCTCACTCTCGGTACCATCTACAGCGTTATCGTCCTCGTCGTCGTCACCGCCGCCGTCGACCTCGAATAGACAGCGCTTGTGGTCCTCGAACGTCATATGATTTCGGACCACATGCCCTCGAATCCCCTTAGCCACGAGTTTTTCATCCCCCTCGATTTTGTACGCGTAAGATTTCGCTCGGAGTGCAATGAACTCGAACATAGTCCTGGAGGCCGTCTCGTCCTTAAACAATCCTGGGATCTTCTTACGCGTACCAACGTAGCAGGGGTGTGTAACGGGGAGATTCGAGGTGTCCATCCGCTCGAGGAGCGCGGGGTTGTCCAGCAGGTCCTTGTAGAAATCCTCCGTATGAATTCGATAGATCAGGGAATCTATAAAGGCATTACGTACGTTAGATATTATATGAGTGTAAATAATAATTATTTATTATTTCGTAAATACCTGTATCCATATACAACAGTCTAATCGAATCGTTATAGTGCCGCCGCATCACATTGTAATGGTAGTCATACATTAACTCCTTGCTTATTTCCAGGACGGCGAACCCTACGTAAATAGGCTTAAAGAAACGTATGTCACTCATTTGTAAGGATACGGCGGCCAGATTCTCGGTGTATGTGGTTACGTGTTTGAAGGTTGGTTTATTTATGAGTTTACGCATTCGTCGAGGGCAGGATACCAATTCCATGGAAATACGATTTCTAACGCATTCCATAGTTTTCCCTGAAAATTCGTATAATAATATAGTATTCAATGATAGTGTGTGTGTGTGTGTGTGTGTGTGTGTGTGTAATAATGACGGGTCAATATTATATCGTCGAGATATTTACCAAACACAGCGTTGTTAAGTAGCTTGAAGAAATCTCGTTCAAATGCGTTGCTGGCTTTCTTTCTCATCTCTGTATTAAGATCAATATATTTGGCAAGCCATCCCGACTGTTGGAATTCCAATACCCTATGGACCTATAATTTTTGTAAGGTTCGTTATTAAACGTTTTTAGGTGAAAACATGTATTACATAATACCTTTTCCACAATCAGCCCATTAGCGATGGCCTGCTTTAAATTTCTATAGTGAACAATATAACGCTCTTTCCGTTCCAACGTAGCCATTAACTTGTTCACCTTAGAGCCTGGGGGTACAGCGTTCCGTGGTAAGAAGGGGAGATCGTTGTGCGCGTCATGTAGGTTGTCGGGGTAGGTGATATCAACCTCGTAGATACGCCCAACGTCGGATTTGTCGGTCATACCGTCCAACAGCTCTAGAGAGCGATCCAAATCCCCCTCGTACCACTTGAACCCCCCGTAGGGCATGTAGTCTCCCATGGCGTACCCGTACAAGTTGTTGCCTGCAAGAATAGGTTTAAAGTTAGTAATATAATTAATAATTGTATAAGCGTTGTATATATACTTACAATCCTGGTAGACGAGCCACGACGGCGGCTCCTCAGCATCGTACCCCGGCGTCTTGGGGTTGTTTGCCCGACAGTACCGCTCACTGGCCTGCACCAACCCCCCTCTTATCCCCTCTTCCACGAAGAGCACCATGTTGTAATCAGTGAGTAACTCCAGTGAGACACCCGTATACCTCAACATCGCGTCAAACGTAAACCCCGGCGTCGTGTAATAATACACGGGGTCGAGGTTGTACGTCAACATGCAGAGATCACGGAAGTTCTCCATGACGTCGGTCAGAAGGAGAACGTCGATGCTAAGGTATAGGTCACTGTAGTCACCGAGGGTCGGGCACTTGAAATGATGCCACACCTCCGTCGCATGCACGTAGTCCTCGTCGGTCACATGCTTCTCGAGTAGCACGCTATAGAAGTCATGTTTCGGTGGTAGGGCGGTCTCCTCGAGCCTCGACCATTTGTCGGTATACTCGTACGGAAACACACCCTTTCGCGTGACGAGTGACATGTCAGTGGGCTGAAACACCTTGGCGGTCTCGCGGAACTTCTCGAACTCACCAGGCTTCGTGATGAGGTTCCCGGACAACTCTGCCAGACTCGAGGCCATGAACCGGCACGAGTCCAAGAACCTCACACTGAAGTCGGGTAAGACGCGCTTGGAGAACGAGATGTAGTTCTCCTCGCTGTTGGGAATCACCGTTATCGACTCCTTATCGTAACCCAGTTCGGTTACGATAAAGTGTGCGTCATATTTCGATAGGTTGTGAAGGAAGCACGGTAGAAACTTGGGTGTGACGAGCTTGAGGTTGCACGGTGAGCAAAGTGTATGCCTCAACCGCCCTGACATATGACAGTGGTCGGCGACTTTACACCTGTCCTCGGTGAATGACAACTTACACATATCACACACACTCTTCGCGTTATGCACACGCACTTCCTCCACACTCATCGAAATCGGTACATAAGTCTCCTTCAGCAGTTTCCCCAACCTGATGGTGAGCGCGGTCACACTGGCGACAAAGTGTTTGGCCACCTCGTCACGCGATTCCGATCCGCGATATATTACCGGGGCCTGTGGTATGTCATATTTCTCCATCAGCGCTACGGGTACGTCCGCCGCCGCCTTGACAAAGTACCCGTAGCTCATTGGGTGATGGGCGTGTATCCCGTCAGTGCTCGCCCCCACCCGCTCCGTCTGTTTTTCGAGTAGGGCTTCAAAATCAGCGTATATCACAAAGGGATGACGCTGCATGCTAGCCCACCCGTTAAACTTAAGCACTTCCCCCTCCTCCGGCATAACAGGTAAAATCGGTTTATTCGGCCCGCATAGCCTCATATGTTGTTGTAGAGCCTCATGACCACACAATTTATTTTTTTTAACCCTCTCATCGAATGAGGTGAAACACCTCTTACAGATGAAAAGTCGACTTTCATGGGAAGTTTTCTGGCTCCGCACCAGCCGTGAAAAATTTGAGATGTACGTATAGTGCATCCGCTCTAAGCCTTCAATTACCAGAAGGTCGAAATGAACCGCCTTCTCGTTTTCGACAACCTTGATCGGATACACTACACTTTCAATACCGACTTTTCCCCCCTTATCATCCTTACCCCCTTTAATCCCCTTACCAACCTTACCCGCCTTACCAGATTTCAATCCGTATACATTTACCGACACCTTATTACGTCGTTCGAATATACAGATTTCCGAAACTGGTGTCGGGGAGGATATTTCGGAAAAATCATACCGATGCTCCTCATTATAATAATTCTGTCCTACACGATTATGGTGACCTACTGGAACATGTCTGGCTAGAATAGCCCACTTGAAACAGTCATCGTCATTATTCCTAGGATTAATGACAGCCTTTTTACGCATAATGTTCTCTGGGAGTGGAATATACGAAGACCCTCCAAGAGGGGTATGCTCATAGATACCTAGCAGCAAGCCATCGATACTAGATAGGGTGAAGCCCGACCCCTTTTTAATATACCTATCTTCCTCCGACATGAGTGCTGCGAAGTCCTCATCGACCATAGCACTCACATCGCTATGTATATACACCTCCCTCGACACGGTTTTAAAAGCCCTATCCTCGGCTGGTAATTCCCTATGCACATACACGGCCTCCAATTTCAAATTATACTTGATCGGGTTAATACGCACGCAATAATTGATTTTATTCACCAATTCGAGTTTTATCGAGTCTAAAAACGTCGGATAGCTCAGACAGTTGTCGGTATTACCTCTATAATACCATATTACGGTCCTATTCAACGAAGAGTCGAGCTCGATAAAACCTGGTGTATTAACCATTCCTATGCGAGCCTTTTTAAATTTTACAATGTTACGCGTAGAGTTGGTTTTAATGCGTTTAACTGACGGAGCGGAAGTGGTGGGGGCTTGCGGTGGAATGATAGCATTCACACTTGACGAGGACGCTACACAATCTACGAAACCTGAACCTTATAAAAAAAAATATTATTATCGATCCTGATACGTTTTAATAATAAAATAATTACTACTACTCACTTAATGACTGCTGCTGCTGTCCAACCGCGATACCTATAGCCGAATTGTATTCCATACCATACTTAATGAAACCTAATCAGAGTGAATTATAAAATAAAAGGTTGTTCTTATGACTTATAATTTATACTATGTGCTAAATAAATAACATTAATAATATTCAATTATTTATTCCTTAATATTCAATTTTATTCGCTATACAATTTTCATTTATTATTATTATAGTATTTTTTTTTTTTTTATGGTAATGTTAGTGAATAATTATCAATTATTAATACATAAAGACTATGGAATATTCACTTGAGTAATGAAATATATACTAAGCTAACGTTAATCGAATTTTTATGATATTCATTTAGACTAGTTTCGATTATTTGTTTAATTGTTCTATCAATATACAGGAAATTCGATATTTATTATCCACAGTCGTAAGTCAATAAATAAGTAATATTAAATTAAATACGTACCATGTTTTTTCTGTACGTGATTCGCAAGGTGATCTCGACGATTGAAAATTTGTTTGCAGCGACCACATTGAAATTTCAAAGACTGCTGCTGCTGTTGCTCAACCGCGGTTCTCATAGCCGAATTGTATTCATCACTATACTTTCCGAAACCTAATAAGGGTGAATTATAGAATAAAAAGTTGTTCTTATGACTTATAATCTATACTATATACTAAATACATAATATATTAATAATATTAAATTATGTATTCCTTAATATTTAATTTTATTCGCTACCTATACGATCTCTTATATATTATTATTATTTTAGTATTTTTATAGTACCTAATGTTAGTGAATAATTCTTGATTTTTAATATAAAGACTAGGTGATATTCATTCGAGTAATGAAATATATAATAGGATAACGTTATTTGAATTATTATTATGTTCGTTTAGACTAGTTCTGGTTATTCGTTTAACTTATTAATAAATAAGTAGATAATTCGATATCTATTATTCACATCCATTAGTCGCTCATTCGATATTTATATAATATTAAATAAAATACATAACATGTTTTTTCTATACACTATGATAATCTATACTATACTAAATGAGAAATATATCAATGATTTAATATTATATTAATAATATTTAATTATTTATTTATTTATACCTTAATATTTTATTTGCTATACAATTTTTTTTTTGTTGTTAATATTATTATTATTATTATAATATTTATTCGAGTAATGAAATATAATATACTATGGTAACGTTATTCGAATTATTATTATATTAGTTTAGATTAGTTCCGGTTATTCGTTTAACTTATTAATCGATATTTAGATAATTCGATATTTATTATTCTCACCTATAATTCATTTAGGATATTTAGATAATATTAAATAAAAATACATACCATGTTTTTTCTGTATATGATCCACGAGGTGATTTCGACGACTGAAAATTTGACCGCATTCTCCACATGGACATTTTTTATCATCATGTAATCTACCATGTCTAAGCATATTCGACTTCACAGTGAAAACTTTATCACAAACACTACACTTAAACATTTTTACTGATTTGTATAAAACACTAGGTTAAGAATAATAGTAAATACTG